GCTGTGTAACATGAACAGCTTTGAGCACTCTCCTGTTCCTAGTCAGTGAGTCAAGAGATTAACATGCAGAGGCTGAGAAACAGAAACCTAATTTTCATTGCAGTACTCCCTCAGGTACAATACTCCATCAGGATTGCTTCTGCACTCCTTGTCACATCGGTCATGTAGCCCTTATAAATGACAAAAACATCAACATTTGACAAGTAGCAAGGAAGTATGTCTCTCTGTATTTCTGAGTATTTCAATGTCTCTTTTATATTTTTCTGTATATAGTGAATTTTATCTCACTCTTTCTGGTTTATATTCACTGTGACAAGAAGGAATCTCAGCAATGTGCAGGCAAGGCAGAGGGACTATGTTCCAAAGAAAGATGTTTCCGAAAGTGGGTTTGAGCTTCGCTGCATGCAACAGAGAGGGAAAGTTTCTATCAGCTACCACAAGTGCCTTCACCATCATGTTGCTGCCACACTGCTCACTCTCACACTGCCTTTCTTCTGTGACACATACCCACTCCTGAGGGGGCTGCAGCCCCCAAGCTGAGATGTGTACTGCTGGCAGACATGTCAGATGTGCTCACCTTCCTTGGAGAGAGCAGCTGCTCCTGAGCCTGCACACCTCCCTGCCTGAGCCACACAAGACTTGGAAGAAAGAATAGACTTCATTGTGTCTGAAATTCTGCTTTCTCACTGTTCTTCAACCTTTTGCTGACTCATGTATTTACTGCCTTTAGGGAAAAGAAGGGTAATTATGAGATTTCTGGTTTTGTCTAGGTGTTGCAGACAAGAAAGTTGGAATGTATGAAGTCTATAGACTCAGAAATACGACAGATGGAAAGAACCCAAGCAGTGTTTACCTTAGGTCTCACAACATTTTTTGTGACAGTGGCTTGCTCAGGGTTATCTCAGAATTGTCCTGAGCTTTTCAGGGAAACTTTCTTCCTGAAGGCAGTCACAGTTCAGCTGTTGAAAAGCTATAGCCTCTCTCTCAGACAGAAAAAATTAGAAACAAAATCTTATACTATATGCTCTGGTAAATACTATGTTCTGCTCTCCTATTTACAGGGCACTGAAGCTTTTTAAGAATTTTCAGATAAAAGCAATTAAATCCTTGTAGCACTTAACTTTATCCCTTAAGGACAGGGAAAAATCTTCCTTGGGTTAGAGGGCAAAGCAAGGATGTAACCTTGCAAAGGTTCCTGCTATCTATCTCAGTTTAATCTCCTGCACAGCTTGCAAAGACATAAAGTACCAAACCACACTCCCAAGGTGCTGTAAATACTTTTTTTCTGTTGTGGCTTCAGGAAAGCCTGGTCTCTGGCAGCAGACCTTCTTAAAGTACATCTCACTCTATAAATGCCAAATCTTTCTGTACATATGATTCCATCCTCTACATGATCTAGTTACTGATAGTGATCTAAGGGTTTGATCCTTCACTTAAGGTCAGGATTCAGCCTGTATGCAGGCATGCCTGGCAACTAGCTGTGGCTATGGCTCTCAAGCACTGCTGCTATTGTGGAAATTATTGAAATTAATCTCTAGTGAAGGACACAATTATTAACCAAGATTCCTGTTGCAGCAGGCATGCAACAGCCTGCAGGGAGTTGCTGAGTCATGCATGAAATCTGCCTGTGACAGTGCAGAATGCTGCAGGGAGCACATTAACAAAACACCATTTAGGATGAAAAGACTTTGTTTTCTTCCCATGGCAGACTACTGTAAGAATGTTAAAATACTGTATTAAGATATTTATTAAAGGGAAGGGAGAAGAATGATGCTTCAGAGTTATATGTCCACTAAAATTGAAGTTTAGATAGTATGCATTCAGAAATAATTTTATTTTCCAGTAATGACAATATGCAATATCACGTAAGAAATGAAATTGAAGAATTGATCTTATTCTTCAAATACAGGATAGCTTCAATATTAAAATTAACATATAAATTTAGCATCAATCTTATTTCCCCACTCACATCTGCTGAGTAAATGCACATAAAGAATGAATCACTGAAACAGTATACTGAGAGAATCAAAGTCATTTTTCAAAGATGTCAGCACAAATGTGAGGTGAGCCTGTTCACCAAGCATACAACAAATGTTGCAGAGGTGGCCCTTCAGACCAATAAGGAGGGCAAGTCAGGGACCCCCGGGGAAGCATCACAACCACCAGTAAGGGCAAGGCAGGGGATAGTTTTGGGCAGGACATCCCCATTTCTTACCCCTGCTCCCGTTCTGCCTATTCCCTTGTCTACAGTTACGTGAGCTACTGGAGAATGTGAACATCGCGTTAGGGCTCTCCGTAGCATTGTTGTTGTTTACATCGCTGTCGGCCCTTAACCACGTTGTCACATCTAGAGATTAACTAGAGGGTTTTAGCAGTGTGTCTCTGGGGCAGCAACCAGCCTCTGTAGAGCCCACCGCACCGGTCTCTGGTGGGCCTGGGACCTGGACAAGCAGAGCCACGAGCAGAGAGAGTGAGCTCTAGGCATTGCCCAGAGAGCAGACAATGAATTCACCCATCTGACAGGAGAAAAAACAGTCCCAGGGCATCCCAGAGAGGCTCCCAGGTGGCTGCTCAGCCAGGAGCAGGAGCTGTGCGGAGGCTGAAGATCTCTTGCTCCAAGAATGCCACAGCTGCTCTAGCACCCAAAAAAAGACCCAAGGGAAAAAAAACCCAACACAATATAAAACACCAAACAAAAATACCCCAACACCTCTTTGGATCCTGGGCTCCAACAGAGACCTCACCAGGCTCAAACCATCTTTCTTGAGGGTTGAATTCTTTTTGTCCTCAGGAGGCTTCTGAGCATCAATACCTTAAGTTTCAGCCCTCCTCACCCCCGCGTCCTCCCTTCCTCATCACGAAGTATTTGCTCCGTCACGAGGCACAAGAGTTCACGAGTTCACCACAAGATGGAGCTGGGAAACGCAAGGTGTGGGGTGCCCACCCGAAGGCCTTTCCCCGGACCCCGGAGGCGTGGAAATCTCGGGATGCTGTACCCCGCAGGTGCTCCACAGGCTCAGGATCGGCCCCGCCGCTGCCGGCTGCGGTGACACGGCTGTCACCGAGCTCGGTGAAGGCACAGCCTGAGCCAGGGTGCCAGTTCCGGGGTGGCCTCTGTGGGCCCTGACGATGGGGCACACAGGGCTCCAGCGGAAAGGGGGCTCCCTCACCCCGCGGTTGCCCACTCTGAGAGGGTGGGAGTGGGTGGGCAGTCCCCACCAGCACAGCAGAGGTCTGCGGAACAGGTCCCAGCACGGCGTGGGCAGAAAAAGTTCCTGCCAACACACCAAGGGATCCTTGAAAACTGTATCAGCCTGTAGTGCCAGCCTGGAAAATATAGCTGGGTGAGCAAAGCAACACCTCTAAAATACCACTGCAGGCCAATCAGTATTTCTTAAAAAATTAATCTTCTGGATACCATTTTAGCTATTTTAGCAATATTTTATTGCATGGCCAAACAAAAATTATTGTTCAACATGAGAACTTGCATTTCTTGTTTTGAACAGAGATACATTTACTTTATTTAAAAAAAAAAAAAGTATTTGTGAGTTAAGTTATTTTATAATACCAGACAAGGATCATTTTAACTTGTTTCCTTTTTCAGAACACAACTTATCAAAAGGGATAAAATTTTAAAAAATCATACCACCGAATCTGCATTTTTCAGCACAAGTGTGATAATAGTTCACTCCACTTTAGCCATGGTCAGCTTTCTTTGAAAGACGTGTCACAGTTCCAAGATGCCAAAATTCTGTTCTCTGAAAACCTGCAGGCCATAGTGTTTATGAGCTGTCTAAGGTGCCACTGTTCGGTCTTTCTGCTGAAGATGATTCAACCTCTGTAGCAAAACAAACAAACAAACAAACAAACAAAAAAAACCCAAACAACAACAAAAAAAAAAAAAAAAAAAAAAAAAAAAAAAAAAACAACAAAAAAACAAAACCACAAAAAGCCCCCCAAACTAAAGCCCATGCAGATTTCATTTAATATACAGGGATGCCTATACAAAGGTTTCTGCAGGAAGGAAATCCGCTCAAAATCAGAGCTTCTGGACCTAACTGCTCTTATCTAGCCTTTGACACTTAATTCCTCTGCAGTCTTGTAGCACAGCATTTCACTACCTCATGCCTTTCTGTTTGCAACATCAAATATATTTTACTTATTACTTTTCTCTCTGGAGTAGCTGTAAGATGAATTTGTTTACAAGTTCCACGTGAATGCAGGCAAATCTGTCAGGACACAACTGAAATTCTGCATTTAGGAAAATTTTAGATGCTTTCACATTTACACTTCCATAAAAGAATCTATTTATTTTCTTTCCCCCCTTCCCCTGCTTTTAAGTCTTTGCTCTGTAGCATTATCAAAAAAATGCTTTTCTGAAGAGCTTGGAAAGTTATGCAAGATAAAGTATCTTTCTGTTAATTTATCCCCTAAGGAAAACAAAATCATTATTTTATTCTCCTTTCTGTGCGTGTTCAGTACCTTGATAAAATGAAAGATTCACTGTGTGCATGAGACTTGTGAAACAAGAAATACCAAATGAGAAGACAGGCATTCATATCAACAATGACACTGGATAACATGCCTGATATGTGTATAAGTTTTAAAGCGCGTCTGCTTTAGGGTTTAACTTCAGGGCAGCCTCAACATTTTTCTGAAATGTGGGACTAATCCATACACCTGAAGGCCTGACAGTCATTTCATCTGCATTCAGAGCTGTGTTTTGTACAAGTCACTTGTCAAGCATATGTTGTCAGTTGTGAGCAGTTGAAAAAATGGCACTAGAACCTTAACGAACTTCTAAGTGAACAGTTAACTTAGTGGCATTCCTTATCAGAAGCAATTCCTAATGTTACTCAGACACACATAAGATATGCAGTGTAATCAATGCATGCAATCATGCAATAAATTGTTCAAACCAATACTTTTCTACATTTAGGGAAGTTGCCATTTGGCTAAATATTATTTTAAAGAAAGGCCTGCTATTACATTCTATTTCCTTTTTTTTCTACTTCTACAGTATAGGGAAAAAAAGATGCTTCTGAAGCACTGGGAGAGCCTTTTGTTTTCTGCTTTCTGTGACTGTAGCAAGCTCTACTTTACTCAGCTGAGCTTGGAATTGTCTGCAGTACATACTCAAGACCTCAGCTTCCCTGATGACAACATTTGCCTAATCTCAGTTGCAAACTACTAGGCAGGGAAGCAGAACCCAGACTTGAAAAAAGAGGCTTTCCTTGACTGCAGCTGCTGGAGCTGGACATTTTAACCCTGCCTGAGGATTAATCAGCTCTCTGTCTTCAGAATGTATTTGCCCAGTATAAATGACATAAACCAAGATCATGATCTTAGTTTATTTTTCTAGAGTCCTTAGCATGCTACATTAACCTGACAATGCTTAATCTGGTGTTCATTTCACAATACACTTCATGCAATTCACAGCTGTAATTGGTTTTACACTGACATTACACATTTCGACCTAGCCATGGGAAAAGAATAACTCTTAATAATATTTCTCTGAAAAGTGTCCAAGCTCAAACGGCACAGAAGGAGCTCATATTAGTTGCATGTGCATATTTCTTTCTTCTGTTTTTTTTATGATCACTGGCATAAGATTATAAGTTCCTTGTTTTAGTCCATTTGCAATTGAATTATGTTTATTTGATTTCTTATGTCCTGAGGAGTTCTCTCTTATAAAACAGCATTCAAGTATTCTAGTTTAACATCCCCATTTTTCTGAGTTAAGGAACAAAGTAGACCTTGGGCTTCTGTTTCCATTATGAGCCTTCCAGAGTCCCATAACCAATAGCCATAAAGTCTTCCTTTGTAATACAGACTCAGCACTAAAGCCAGAGTATTGCTATTTGGCATTATCCAGTGAAGTGCAAGAAATTTAAAAAGTTATGTCTTTATTGCTATAGTATAATACCAAGCAAAGTCACTTTTTAATACAATTGCAAGAGTTTCATAGAGTATGTGTCCCTCCTCTTAGGGGCCAGTAGTTCAGCTGCACTTTGAGTATCACTTAGCTATCACACGTCAAATGTCAGTCTAAGAAGATGTGTTGAGTATTCTTGAGTCTGAAGAATCAGACCTTTCCTCATATTCATCTTCTGTGTAAATTGGTTGCTTAGACACAATAGGACACCCATCATCAGGAATTGAGATCCTAGGATCCTCTGACGAGCGGGAAGGAAGTACAGGTGAGCTTCGGAAAACTGTGGTTGTGTTGCTAGAGAAAGGACTGACATACTGGGACCGCAGCTGGTACTGCTGCTGCAGTGTCATGGTGTTCCACAGGGTGACATCATTGGGCAGGAACGGGCTGGACTGATTTCTTGCCAAAGTGTTCCTCAACATCAGTGGGTAGCGTGGTGGTTGAGGGAAAGGGTGCTGCAGAGGTACAGCCAGAGGATTTGGCATGACATTACTGGAATCAGCAGAGAACCTTAGCGTGTCAGGAACCCTAAATGCTGAGCCCACGGACCACTTGGAAGATGAAATAGGGTAGGAACTCAGCGTGTGTTCAAAAATGTGCCCGTTGGAAGGCAAAACAAGACCATCGGATTCTGCAGAAGTTCTCTCCCCACTGGCCACCGAAGACCGACTAGACAGGAGAACCTCCACAGCACTCACCAGATCACCACCACACCCCTTCAGGATCAACTCTAGCACAGCTGGCTTTTGATTAGGGAAGATCTTTTTCAAGACTTCAAGTGGAGGTCTGTTTGCTTTCAAACTAAATGGTAAAGAAACTGTCCCAGAAGGACCTTCTATCAGGAGGTGGTTCTGCTCTGGGTGGTACTTGGGGCTGTCTGGATGATTCTCTGTGCTCCCACCATTTTTCTGAACTGCATAACCAACCTCATCCACTGAAACAATTTCAGGGCTTTCAGGGGTGAAACAGCTTTTGGCTTTAGTCATGTCTGGGGAACTCCTTTGGTCTGTGTCTTTGTCGCTGTAGGTCTCAGCATTGTCTGCTCCACTGGTATCACCCAACCTCTCCTCATTCATGTCTGCAAAGAGAATTCAGAGAAGTTAATAAAAAACTGAAGCCAAAAGCTTTTACAGAAATTTGAGGATAGTGTCTTCTTAAAGTGAACAAAGAAGAATGGGGGGGAGAGCATTTTTCACAGAGATGCTGTAAAAATTAAGGTATCTTTGCAACATCTCATGAAGATAAAACTGCAAAAGAATAACGTTACCTGGTCTAGGCCTTATAGGTATCTGTCACGTTTTCGCATGTGCAAGGAAGGAAGCTGTAGTAATTTTTCTGTTGCATCAAATATACTGTATCAGTCGTCTCTCACTGATTACATGGCAGCAACACACCAGCCAAGTGCAAGCTTTCTCAGAGGAACCTGAGCACTTTCACATCATAATTCCTCACTAGCACCATCCCACTGTCTGTGAGATGAAGAGGGCACTTAGGGGGACCAAAATTCCCTCTGCAAGTCCAACAGCTTTGGTGGAACCACTTCATCATGACTACTGGTTGAAGGTATAAAAAGTCTGCAAATACATCAGTGTATTCAAGTTCTGGCTCTGCAGAAATTGGTTCCTCCCACAGCACAGATCCTAGAAAAATCTGGTTTGAGAAGGACCTCTGGAAAGCATTTGGTCCAATACCCTGTCCAAAGCAAAAGCAACCTAAAATATAGAGTAGGTTGCTCATGTCCCTGCTTAGATGAGTTTTAAATAATTCCAAGGAGAGAGGCCCCACAAACTCTCTTAGTACTTGTTCCTGGTATCTTGCTTTTTATGTGCTAAACTAAGAAGGTTAAGAGCTGAGTACAGGGCTGAAAACAAGCCCATTGACCATGCTGTCTCCAGGTAGACACTCAGAAATGGGAACATCCCACATCTCTGGTCACTTTAGTAATGCCTGACCTGAGTATGGAATTGTTGTCAGCAAGAAGAAAGGAAGAAAGGTTGACAGTGCTTTCACAGCCTATGCACAAGGGAGTGCATAGAATTGCTTGAGATTGTTCATGGTTATTTCTCGAGAACACAGTTCTGCTGGCCTTCCTCATAGAGCACAATGATGGTATCCTTGAGAGGCATCAATGCATGGGGAAGGGATCATTGTCCAAGCTGCAGCTGACAAGAGACCAATTTAACTGCTCAGGGCAGTGCTTTTGAACACACATACGTGAAAAACTATCTGCAAAAAAAAACCCCAATGCAATTATTTTCTTGGTTTCCCAAGTCCATGGTTAACAGCCCAACTAGATAAAGAAGCTGTAAGAAGCAAGCAAAGGTTCCTAAAATGTGCTGATGAACACCCCTGCCCAAGTGAGATGCAACCAGTTAGAGGTATGCAAGAACCTTAGCCTCACTGCTCACCACCTCCTGCCTCTCTCTCGCCCCATTAACAGGCAGAGCATCTCCCCATGCAGTGGAATAAGTTTAGTGTTTCACAGATCAGCTTGAGACAAAGTCTATTAATGCAATTTCCCATCTTGAGAGAGAAAGAAGTCAAGATCTGAGCAAGCCCACGCTGAGCCAGAAGCCACTCTGCTCACCAGAATAGGAGCTATAAATAAGTATGAGATCCTGGCAGAGCACAGCCTAACAGTGTGAGTATGCCAAAAAGTGCTCCTCGTGAGGATTGTGGTACCTGGCAGAAATGATGGGTCATCCTACAAAGCTGTGGGATGCTGGTAGTTTGGGATGTGGAAGATAAGCATGTAGCTGAGGAATACAGCTGAGGAACTTAGTTGCCCTAATGAAGATCTCTTTTAGCAGGATAGCCTGGTTTTGATAGTTGTTTTTATATTGGTTATGCTCATTGTCCAGTGTAAACAGAGAAGCATAACTTTGCATGTTGCTACATTACAGAGAAGGCAATGTATGTATCCTCTCTCATACGCTCAGTGTGTCAATCTTTCTTGCCTTAGCAGCCAAAGTGGAATGCACGAATTGTTTGCCAATAGCAACATGAATCCTTTTGAGGAGATGGTAAAACGCCGGCATAGCTCATCCATTATTTGAGAAAACATGAGGCTCACACTACCTTTCCCTCCTAATCCCTTCACGTGTTCATAATTACGCATTTGTTACAAGAGAAGGGGCACTAAGAGTGATTCACATCTTAGTGAATGCACAGTTTATACACTGAAGGCTTAGAGAGCAGTCTGAGGACATCTAACTACCGGTTCCTGTCTTAACGGAGTTAGAGAGGCAGTTAGGGGAGATGATAGCCCTAATTTCCACATCAATAGGTTTCACTGTAGTACACAATATTACAAAATTAACTGAATGCAAGTAGAGAGTATTTCAGATCTACTGCATTTTTACAGTGTATCTCTGTGGATGAGAACAAGTACAACTAGGAAGAAAATACGTGCTTTAAAAAAAAAAAATTAGATAAGATCTCTCTAATACATTCCCTGTTCCTTACAAAATATTATTTTCAAGATATTTTAGATTTGTTCAATTTTCAGTATTCTTAAAAATATCCTTATGAAGCTTGCCTAAAAAATTTTCTCCAAATTCTGAAAACTCATCCCACTGAAGTTTGCATCTTTATCATCACGAGACCGCGCAGAGCCCGATTCTTAGCCTTTGCACAAGGACAGTCTCCTCGTACAGCAGAGATCACAGCGGCGCATCTCAGAGGGCTGTTAGACTTACAGGGACAGACACGGAAAACGAAATTTCGGTGATTTAAATCGAAGTGCTGTTACTAACACATGGAGAATTACCCTCCGTTGGCTAATACTGAGCATGGACGCTGTTGTATTTTTCCCCTCTGCCTTTTCGAGAGCATTTCTGGATGCCGGTGTCAGGAGGCTTCATCCTGGGGCTGGGGCTGGTCGCATGGCAGCTCCAGCCGACCTGGCCGGCCCCGGTGCTTCCCTGTCAGGCTGTGTTCCAACTGCATTTTCCCCATGGGAACACTCCTTGCCCGCCACGCTGAGGGCGCGGAGAGGGCCAGGTGGAAGGCGCGCTCCAGGGACTGTCCCCAGCCCTTCACGGGAACAGCCGCGACCGCGATTTTCGTTTGTTTAAAATTGGCACAAAATAGCAATCGTCAAACAAACAAAAATTAGGGAAGATACATTATAAATGTCCTTCCGTGGGCACTAAATTGTAGGAATATTGCATGTGCGTATTAATAGTAAATGTTTATATTTTCAGGTACAAAAACAATTTTGTATTTAGAAAGTACAACCCGTTGCTCTTCACCAAAGCTTTTTTTTGTTTTGGTTTGGTTTTTTTGTTTGTTTGTTGGTTTTTTGTTGGTTTAGGTTTTGGGTTTTTTGTTTTTGTTTTTTCCTTTAATAACTTGTAAGCTTCACATAAAGATGTTCTGGGCTTCAAGAAAGAAATCTCGTTCTGGGATATTTTTCGTCTGTGGGGTTTGGGTGTTGTGTTTTGTTCTGCGTGGGGTTTGATGGTTTTTTGCTGTGGTTTTTTTTGTTGATGGTGGTTGGTTTGATTCAGATTGGGGAGGGGGCTGTTCTGGATTTTAGTGAGGTTTTTGGTCTTGTTTAGGTGGTTTTGTATGTTTCTGTGGTTTTGGTTTTGGGGATTGTACTTTTTTCTCTGTGTGGGTGGTGTTGGGTGGTGGGGGGTGGGTGGGAGTGTGTTGGGGTTTTTTCCCCCCAACACCTTCTATTTCAAATTGCCTGCATTCAAGTATTCACTTTGTGATCCCGGGGAAAATTAGGGGAACTGTTTTCTTATTGATATAAACGATGGGGAGTATTCATAAAATAATATGTTTGCAGAGACAGACACAAACCTAGATCTACAGAGATGCAGTGCAAATACAGATACACATAAAACAGAGAACTGTGGGAGAACCATGCATGCATTTACAGTAAAATACAAATTAATAAATAAAGCTGCTACAAATTTGGAGCAATATATACCCCAATTCTCCTTGACTATTTATACATTAAGGATCATGAGTCAAACCTTGTAAAGACGCCAAATAAAAGTAATATGGATGAGAGAAGCTGTTCTCAATTCAATAACTTGTCTGGAAAACTTGGTCTAATACTTTGGAACAAATTTGTTTCCTCGATATTCCCACTGCTGACTCCCTGTTAAAACAGCTTGTTCTTTGATTGTTAAGACAGATTTTCTTGGATCCCAAAAGAATTTGCTGTTTTCCTTATTTGTATTAATAGAAAAGACTATACCAGAACTAGCATAAAAACATGAAAAGTTAAGGTCGTTGGTTTTTGGTGGGGTTTTTAGTGGTTTGTTTGTTTGGGGGGGGGGATTTTTTGGTTGGTTGGGTTGTGGTTTTTTGGTTTTCTATCTGTTTGGAGGAAGGGGGATGTTAGTTTGGTTTAGGTTGTCGGAGTTTTTAATTACTTTCACTTCAGGCTTTCATCCCTATCTTTAAAGGTCTAAGGTACTTTGTAGGAGATTAATCACTTTTCTCTAACACAGAGACAACTGTGCTGCGTTAAGAAGCTGGCTCTGATAATAAGACACGACCCAATATAGCATTATATTGTTTACAAGCCTGGACAACTACTACTAAGAGAAATGTGCTCATGTGGGCGAGGAAAGTTCATGAGCACGGTATCAGGAGGAGGGATCATCCCAGGTTAGCAGAGGCAGGTGCAACAGGGGTAGTTTCTATGTGCATCATTTGCACAGAACAGAACTTCACAACTGTCCCACCGAAACGACAGGATTTTATTCTGGCAGGAATAAAAGCAGAGGGATCTGATTCTACCGTATGTCGGGAAATTTCCCCTCCGTAGTGAAAAACACCTTTCAGGAGATTAATGTCCTCGCGGTGGAAGGGGTGTGTGTGTTTGTGTGTATGTTAGAGACGGGACGGACAAGGGGAACAAATAGTTACATCCCCTGTTTTGACGACGATTTTAACTGAGGTAGTGGGGAGGAGGTGAAAGCCCTGCCGCTCAGAACACGCAGGATAGTTAGAAATAAACAAGTTGTGTGGTGACAGGAAGAACCATTTTCCACTTTGCTGTCACGCATCCACATGTTCATAAAAAGCGGGGGGGAAAACCCTCTGTAACAGTCGGGGACCGGGGACCACGGGGGTGACGTCTGTGTAACCAGGACTGCTCCTCGGCGGTACCGGAGTGCCCAAGTCCCCCCAGCCTGGCCTCACCGAGGGAGGGGGCGGGGGCAGGCGCGGCACTGAGGGCGTTGATTTATGGGAGATCTCCTCCGTTATGTTTGGGGTTTTGTTTTTTTGGTTTTGTTTTGTTGGTTTTTTTTTTCTTCGGTAAAGCTGCTAGCAGAAAGTGCTGACTGGCTGGCAAGGAAGAATTTCTCATCAATACACTTTGATTTTATTTTGCAAACAAAATGCCTGTTGCTTGGTAACATTTCACTTGAGCCTGACCTTCCCCAAAAGTTATTGCTATCAGATTCGATTTACACTCTCCTCCCGTGATTACTGTAATCTTTTAAACTGGGAAGTTCATATATCAAGGGGAAGGAAAGTCGGGCGTGCAAGTTAATACCGTTCCTATCCGTCAGATTTATATCGTGCTGGCGGACAGGAACTTGTACTTTCTGGAAGAAGCCAAGGGGGCTTTTCATCCCCTTCCCTCCCCAATCCCTCGGCTTTACCACCCCCACTTCTACGCAGGGAGGAGGCCCCCGCCAAGCGCCTCCGCGGATGCGGGTGGTGAAAAGACTCCGAGCTGGTGGGAGGCTACGGCCAGCGGAAATTTGGGCAAAGACCCCCAAAGCCCAGGGGAACGGCCGACGGAACCAGGCGGAAGTGCAGGGGACAGGGGGGGCGGAGGGCAGGCAGGCGGTGCCATGGGCCGGAGAAGAAGTAGGTCCCAAGCCACTGGCATCCTCGCCACACTGACAGACTCAGCCGTGCCGCCGCCTCGGGGCCGGTGTTGTGTCTCCTCCAGTGTTGGAGGACAAAGCCCTGTGCCGGGGCCCCAAGGACGCCTCCGTGGCCGGGATGGCTCCATACCGCACACGGTAGCCCGTGGGTGAGAGCTCAGGGTTCGCCATTTCCCTCCCGGGGCACTGGGTAAAATTTCGTCAGTCTCCACTTGTCTGCGGAGCGCACTAGGCTGCCAGCGGCCTGTCCGACGGGTATCCCCGTAGTGAATGACTGTCGGCTCCCGCTCAGACACCGGGCAGGGAATGGGACAGCAGTTCTGGAGCGTTAGTTTTGCTTCCAGAAGTGTGTTTTACCGACAGGTCGCACTCACAAGGTGCCGGTTGCGGGCGGTGGTTTCAGCAACCCCGACCTGCCACAAGCAGCCCCAGACGCGACCCGGAGCGCAGGAGGACTGGGTTGCCCGGTTCATCCCCTACCACCACCTCACTTCTTCCGGTCATCCTTGCTCCACAGAAATCCTCTAGCTCCCGGCGCCGCTTTTAGTCCGAGGCACTCTCTGGAGATTTTGTCCTGGACGAGGCCCCGCAGCCCCGACGTCCGGGATGGGGGAAGCCGGGGAGCGACTCCAGCCGGCTAAGGGTTACCGGGAGGGAGCGGCAGAAGGACGTGCGGTTGTGATCCACGTGGGATCAAAAGCGGCACGTCGGGGAGCCGGTTGGCAGCGGCG